ATCATATAGAAACGGCACAGTCCATGATTCTTCTTGTCCCACGACAGGACAATGGGACCTCCGGCAGGTTAACGCGTTTCGAGGACTAGTCTCTTCCTCAGAGCCAAAGATGGCTGTCCAAGCCAGCCAGGATGTGATTGCAATCAGTTGTCGTCTCGGGACCCACTCTCAAGCACAGGAGAATTGGTGGTGTGTGTCTATTTGGAGACACTGATAGTAGAAGCCTAGCCATGAGCCGGCTCTGGCTAAAAGAGTGCTGTACCACAGAGGGGGAAAAATACTAAATATAATTACCCTTTCAAAGTGAGGACAAGCAGCCTGGGGAATTCGACTCTACACAACTTCAGTGTGGAGAAAGCAGGAATAGGGGTGGGCAGATACCAGCCGTGCTGCTTCTTCTGTATGCAGCTGCTGGCCAGCTTTATTGTTCGGAAGGTGGGTCTCTCAGGACTCCCCTTGGGTGCTATCCTTGATGCTGTTGCGTGCCACCTCTGGCGTTAGTGCTGGGGGTTGCCTACCCCTGAAGTACACACTATAGAGAGATATTTTGTGTCTGAGGTTTATAGCTGCTTGAATGTACTTTAGGAGGTCAACTACAGGTCAGCTGCACCCGTTGCAAAGGTTGGCCATACCTTATACTATTTTCTTCAGATTTTTGCTTTAGATTTACCAAAAACCATATAATAGGAGGTCAAACCTAAATAACACTTTCAGTTGTATCCAATTAGGCAGGCCTTTGCACTACACAGTTGAAGGTAAATCTAAAGGAAATTGGACAGAAAATTGTATAGTGTATGGCCAGTCTAAGTCTGAATAATCTCAGAATTGTATCAAACTCATGTCAAATACCACCAGAAATCACCAGGAAGCAAGCTGCGTTTGCCCATTGATACAGGTGCAGAGCCTGTTGACACATACGTAGTCCTGCTTCTTTTTTTTTATATTCCAATGGTTTTTATTAATTTTTAAACATTTTATAAAACAGAGGCAATAAAACACGCCCACACAGGGGCTATCAATTGCACGGAGAGAAAAGATTAAAAAAAAAAAAGTGCAAAATAAAAAGAAAAACAGTGCTCTAACGCCAACAGGGCAAAAGGTACGCCCACGCAGGGGCTATCAATGGCACATAAGGTACAAAACATTAATGCAACTGACTCTAACAACTAAAGGCAGCTGTCCAGTCACACCAAAAACAGAGAGAGAGAGAGAGAGAGAAAGGAAAAAAAAAAAAGGGGGGGCAAAAAGCAGGGGTCCAAGAGCGCCAGTATCGAACGCCATTACATCCCCAGACTAGCCGGGGGGGGAGTGTGGGAAAGGCATATTTCAACCACGGCTCCCATATTTTCAAAAATTTACGGTGGGAGTCGTTGCGGATACTCGACATCTGTTCGTTGAGCATCATAGTGGTCATACGATCCTGCACCCCCTGAATAGGGACAAACGGACTCTTCCAGGCCTGAGCAATTGTTCTAGTGGCCATAAAAACAAATAAGAAGCCAACTTCTGCTGGTGAGCCAAGAGGCCCGGTATGGGGCAATGAAGCAAGGCATACTGGGCATCCTGGCGTATGGAGAGATGGAACAAGGTGAAAAGGAGGCCAAACACACGAGACCAAAAGCGAAACAGTCTCAGGCATGACCATCAGATAGGCAAGACATCTCCACGATGGCCACAACCCCGAAAACATTGATCACTACAGGCAAGGTTAGCCCGGGTCAACCGAGCCGGAACCCAATACCGCCGAAACAATACCTTATAGGCTGCCTCCAGTGTGGTCGTATTAAATGAGCATTTAGCTATGAATGACCAGGCTTTATTCCAGTCCTCCGGATCCACAGCCACTCCCAGGTCGCGCTCCCACTGAGCAACAGTCCTGCTTCTTTTAAGGCTTTTACACACACTTTCAACCATGAATCAGCATTTCTAGAAATGCAAGGAAGTTTTCTATAGGGATTTTCTACTGTTGCCAATATATGTTTTTATGAAGTGATGTATATAGATTTGTGGAAGAGTGTTGTTGTGTACAATGTTAAATATGACATTCCAATACAATTCTGAATGTTTGTATTTCACACTAATCTGAGTATAATCGTGTTTCTATTTAAAACTGATGAGTGTACTGTTAGAAGAAAAAAAAAAGTCTGTTTTCCATGTATTTGTTTTGACTCCGGAAGTCATGGTAACCTGTGTGATGTTTTTCCAGTCAGACATTTTCCCTTCTGTGAATGCAACTGCGTGCTGCCTAACTTTATAAACCTTTTGTTGTATGAAAACGTTCGACTGCTTTATTTAGAATTAATGAGAAAAATGTCTGATGTTAGATTTAATGGAGAAGCACATAATCTGCTTATTGGATTGACTGTTAAATCACTGGATTTATTTATTGGTAAATTAGACCTAAACACATTGTAATCATTTAATTACTTCAGAACACCTTTATAATGCTGAAGAAAAATGTTGACAGCTAATATGCTGTCCAGCACTCAGCACTGTGAAGGATAGATGGGGGCATTGATCGTTCTTGTCATACAGCAAGGCAGCGAGACCGATTGTTATTTAATTTATTTATTTCAGGTACTTGTATAGCGCCGCCAATTTACGCAGCACTTTACATATATATTGTACATTCATAACAGTCCCTATCCCTCAAGGGGCGTACAATCTAAAGTCCCTAACTCACATTCATACATACACATACATTGTACATTCACATCAGTCCCTAACCCTCAACGGGTGTACAATCTAAGGTCCCTAACTCACATTCATACATACAGATACTAGGGACAATTTGGACAGGAATCAATTCACTACCAGCATGTCTTTGGAGTGTGGGAGGAAACCGGAGTACCCAGAGGAAACCCAAGAAAGCACAGGGAGAAAATGTAAACTCAATGCAGGAGGTGCCATGGTCGGGAATCGAACCCATGATCCATTTACTGCAAGGCCGACCTGCTAACCATTAAGGCTACGTTCACACTAGCGTTGTCTGCAGGCGCAAGAGAGGCGTTTGGGAAGCGTTTTTACCGCTTCCCAAACGCCTCTGCCAATTCTGCACATTACAGCACATGGTGCTGTTCTAACGGGAGCGGTAGCGTCGTGGCAAAACGGAGGCCTCTGGTCGAGTCAGGAGGCGTTGCAGCCTCCTATTCTAGTCTATGTTGCCGCTCCGTAATTGCCCGGCCGGCGTTTGCGACGCGGTTGCTGAGCGGTAACACGACTCAAACTGCATTATAGGCGTTTGTGGGGCGTTATTCGGCAACGCTCGCGCATGCGGCGCATGCGACTCAAACTGCATTACTGCCGCTAAAACCCGCAAATGCCGGACCAACGCTTGCCAAACGCTATAGGGGCGTTTGGCAAGCGTTGGTAAAACAACCAAATGTGAACGAGCCCTAAGTGAGTTCAGTTTCGTACTTAAAGGGTAAGTTCTCCTTTTAAAAAATAATAAATGCACACAGTTTTAAAGGTAAAAATGTGTATTTTGTATTATTATTATAATTATTATTATTGGAGCCTGGAGAACATTGCACCCACGATCAGCAGATCCCAGGTACAATTCTGGGCTCCTGCAGAATCGCAGCATAGCTGTTTTCCCATATCTCCCGTATGGGCAGTCAGTTACTGGAGAGCAGGAAGATCAGTGAACTGTGAGAGCGCTCATCAGTGTCCTCACAGTTCATCTACAACTGAAAGCTGTCTGCCACAATGGCAGATGGTGGTTGTAGTTCATTCATTCACAAAACTCTGTGAATGAAAGACGTGGCTGTGTGGGTGGATCCCCACATGGCCAAGGTGTTTTTAAATTGTGATAGCGAGTTGGGGAGAAAAGATCCTCCACCCGCTGTCACAGCAGGGGATTGGGTGGGTTCGGGCAGGTGCTCTTTGGTAACATGTTGCATGTTACACCCTAAATATGGGTGTAACATGTTACCAAAGGTGAACTTGTCCTTTAAATTTTCCCTATGCTGCTCTAAATGAAAACCAAGACATGGGCAGCACAGTGGCTAAAGGGTTAGCACTTCCGCCTGGCAGTACTAGGGCCGTTGGTTCGAATCCCAGCCACGGCACCTCCTGCCTGGAGTTTGCATGTTCTCCCTGTGCCTGCGTGGGTTTCCTCCGGGTACTCCGGTTTCCTCCCACACTCCAAAGACATGCTGGTAGGTTAATAGGATCCTGTCTAAAAAATTGGCCCTTGTACATGAATGTGAGTTAGGAACCTTAGATTGTACGCCCCTTGAGGGTCAGGGACTGATGTGAACATACAATATATATATGTAAAGCGCTGCGTAAATGAACGGCGCTATATAAGTACCTGAAATCAATCAATCAATGAAATCAATAGTTAGATCTGTCCCTGACCAGTCCCTAATTATGCATGTTTCTGTATTATCCATATTGCTTATTCTTTCACAGATCTGTGCAAATCTAGTTCATTTGGCCGCCCAGAAATCCAGATACATCCAATACACAAAAATCTGTCATGAAAACTTAGCTAAGTGAGAGGTGGCTAATTGGCTTTGTAATTAACCTGTGAGTGTGTGGCTTACCCTAGCATGCTGATTGAGCATGTTACTCATCCGGGAACACAACATGGTAAGCCCTTGTGCGTCAGGGCATAGATTTAGTTTTTTTCTAGTTTACGCCTTCTTAGCCGTGATATTCCCTATACAAGCTAAAGTTCAGCAGTTTGTGTGGATGTACTACATGCCCTGGTAAATGTGAGTGCACTGCAGAAGCCTTTTCTTTTTTCTTTATCCAAGGGTTATGATGTTGAAAAAAATGTGGGGATATGCACTTCATTATGATGTTCTTTTGTAGCTTGGAAGATTGGCGTATAATCAGTGCACTTGTCAACAGAAAAATCGATACTGCTATTTTGAATTTGTATATATTGAAAAATATTTTGTGTTTTGATGCGAGTCAATTTTTTTTTTTTGCTTGAAATTTTCCCAACAAATTACCTGAAGATCTTTACACTGATTTTTTTTTTCCTTCAGGCAGAGGCAAGACTTGCTGCAAAACGTGCTGCTCGAGCTGAAGCACGGGATATTCGGATGAGAGAGCTGGAACGACAACAGAAAGAGGTATGTCTTGTGGCTTTATACGGTTTATTTTCACATGTACTCATACTTTAACAAGGATTGTCTAGCACCTTTTTATCCCCATTCCATTTTTGGCACGGATTAATACATGAAGAAGTTATTGACTGCTGCATTGAAGTAGTTTCTTTTTGCCTCCTTAGCTGTTATATTATATTCCTGTCTGATTGTTTTCTTTGTGTTGCTGTAGTTAAGGACTTTTCTTCCACCCATATTGTGTTAGTAAAGTGGATATTTTATGCAGGCCATAGACCAGGGGTGGGCAAACTTTTTGACTTGAGGGCCGCAATGGCTTCATATATTGGACCCGGGGGCCGGACCAAGAGTAGATGAATGATGTGTATGTGTCATCCATAGTAAGTATAGTAATATTCCCCCATAGTAAGCATAGTAATTCATCCCCCATATAGTAATTCATCCCCCATATAGTAATTCATCCCCCATAGTAATTTATCCCCCATATAGTAATTCATCCCCCATAGTAATTAATCCCCCATATTAATTCATCCCCCATATAGTAATTCATCCCCCATATAGTAATTCATCCCCCCTATAGTAATTCATCCCCCATATAGTAATTCATCCCCCCTATAGTAATTCATCCCCCATATAGTAATTCATCCCCCATATTCAGTATAGTAATCATCCCCCATATAGTAATTCATCCCCCCCATATAGTAATTCATCCCCCATAGTAATTCATCACCCATATAGTAATTCATCCCCCATATAGTAATTCATCCCCCCTAGAGTAATTCATCCCCCATATTAAGTCCCCAAGTCCCCCCTGTGTCAATTCACTTACCTTTGCTCCGCGCGTTCCTCTCGCCGTGTTTCCGCGCCGTTCCGGTGTAGCATAAAAAATCTGTCTCCTATGAGGATCTGTCCCCCTCGACGTATCTGTGCATGTGCCAGTTTCAGTCATTAGCAGCCGATCGGCGATCTCCGGCACATGCGCAGATACGTCGAGGGAGACAGATTTTCATGCTACACCGGTCTTCAGGGCGGACTGTGAGAGGAGCCTAGCTCCGCGGGCCGGATTAAAAGGTCCGCCGGGCCGTAGTTTGCCCATTGCTGCCATAGACGGTTCGTTTATTGGCTGAATTTTCTTTTACAAAGAATTTTATTATAGAATAGGAAACAGCAGAGAATCAGTCAAGAACATATGCAATGACCAGCAGCAATATAACATACAAAAGATTCGATGGATAATACAGAATATGTACTGATGAGAAAACATGAAAATAAACTGCATACATAAGTGCCGTACAGAAAGAAAAGACAATAAATTGCAAAAATTATGGATATTTAGAGACTAATAACATATAAACTCTCAGGAAAAATGGTTGCAGAATCAACATACAGATATCGGCTGCATTTTCATCCGAAAGAATCATCGGCCGATATTCGTACCGTTAGTGGGGCAATGTCATCGGCCAATTTTCCTGTTTCCTCCTTATTTCTTTTATCGGTCATGCTGGAAAATTTACAAAAAACGGCCGATTTTCGCAATCATTGGTGGCAACAGAACGACCCATATTTCCTTTTTCAGTCAACAATTCGGCCAATAAACGAACCGTCTATGTCCTGCATAAGTCTCAGTCTTGTACATCCTAATCATCTCTAAGAAGTATCACCGTGGATTGTTTAGTATGCAATTAAGGCCGAAATGTCCTAAATCACATATGTCGAACACAAAGCCCGTGGGCCTAACAGTTTGCCAGGCCTTGTCATGTGGTCCGCGCACCCAGTTTTGCAGCCACCATTCCGCTGGCTCCCAGATGTAACAGATCCCTGCATGTATTCAAGGCAGGGCACAGCGGGGACAGATCTCCAGAGAGAAGGGTGTCCCTGAAAGGTGCACCACCTCCAGAGGTAGGCACTAGATACGGGCCAGGTAGGAGAGAGAGATGCGAAGAAGCTTTGAGAGGATATTAGGGGTGGGATTGTGCAGTCTGTACGTAGCGCACTCCTAAAGCCTGCATTACCTGGGAGGGTGGGTGGGTCTAGGAGTGGTCTTTGCAAAGAGTATATAACCCCAAAGCAAGGCTCACACTTCCTCTTTGGAAGCCCAGTCATCAGGATGTCTGAGTAACGTATTATTCTGTGTTTCTTCTCTGTAACTTTCTTTCCTGTGGTCATCTCTTTGTATTGGTAACATTCTGTATTTGCATTGTAATATTACTACTTTTAAAGTTATGCCGGCTTCATTATATTATGTTATATTTGATTAATAGCAAGCTTCTTTTCTGTGTAAATAAATTAGATCTTTATTTTTTGCACAGTTGTTATCAGTTGGTATTAATGTTATTGGTATTAGCCACATCAGGATTGGCTAAATTTCATGTATAGACATAAGGTTGTCATCACTTATTACATTTATAATCTTCGATAGAACCAAGGGAATTAGTATGGTAGCAAAAGCACCAAAATGAGTGCAACCCTGAATTCTGCACTATGTACAGAGTGCACCCCTGAACTCTGCATTCTGTACTTGGTGCACCCTTGAACTCTGTACGTAGTGCACCCCATAAAACTGTGCACTCTGTACGCAGCGTGCCCTTAAACCCTGCACTCTGTACACAGCGTGCCCCTAAACCCTGCACTCTGTACACAGCGTGCCCCTAAACCCTGCACTCTGTACACAGCGTGCCCCTAAACCCTGCACTCTGTACACAGCGTGCCCCTAAACCCTGCACTCTGTACGCAGCGTGCCCCTAAGCCCTGCACTCTGTACGCAGCGTGCCCCCTAAACCCTGCACTCTGTACACAGCGTGCCCCTAAACCCTGCACTCTGTACACAGCGTGCCCCTAAACCCTGCACTCTGTACGCACGTGCCCTTAAACCCTGCACTCTGTACACAGCGTGCCCTTAAACCCTGCACTCTGTACACAGCGTGCCCCTAAACACTCTGCACAGCGTGTAAACCCTGCACTCTGTACACAGCGTGCCCCTAAACCCTGCACTCTGTACGCAGCGTGCCCTTAAACCCTGCACTCTGTACACAGCGTGCCCCTAAACCCTGCACTCTGTATGCAGCGTGCCCCTAAACCCTGCACTCTGTACGCAGCGTGCCCCTAAACCCTGCACTCTGTACGCAGCGTGCCCCTAAACCCTGCACTCTGTACGCAGCGTGCCCTAAACCCTGCACTCTGTACATAGCGTGCCCCTAAACCCTGCATTCTGTACGCAGCGTGCCCCTAAACCTGCACTCTGTACGCAGCGTGCCCCTAAACCCTGCAGCTCTGTAGGCAGCGTGCCCCTAAACCCTGCACTCTGTACCCAGCACGCCCCTAAAACCTGCACTCTGTACCCAGCACCCCCTAAACCCTGCACTCTGTACGCAGCGTGCCCCTAAACCCTGCACTCTGTACGCAGCGTGCCCCTAAACCCTGCACTCTGTACTCAGCGTGCCCCTAAACCCTGCACTCTGTACGCAGCGTGCCCCTAAACCCTGCACTCTGTACGCAGCGTGCCCCTAAACCCTGCACTCTGTGCGCAGCGTGCCCCTAAACCCTGCACTCTGTGCCCCTAAACCCTGCATTCTGTACTCAGCGTGCCCCTAAACCCTGCACTCTGTACGCAGCGTGCCCCTAAACCCTGCACTCTGTACGCAGCGTGCCCCTAAACCCTGCACTCTGTACGCAGCGTGCCCCTAAACCCTGCACTCTGTACGCAGTGTGCCCCTAAACCCTGCATTCTGTACGCAGCGTGCCCTAAACCCTGCATTCTGTACGCAGCGTGCCCCTAAACCCTGCACTCTGTACGCAGCGTGCCCCTAAACCCTGCACTCTGTACGCAGCACGCCCCTAAACCCTGCACTCTGTACGCAGTGCCCCTAAACCCTGCACTCTGTACGCAGCGTGCCCCTAAACCCTGCATTCTGTACTCAGCGTGCCCCTAAACCCTGCACTCTGTACATAGCGTGCCCCTAAACCCTGCATTCTGTACGCAGCGTGCCCCTAAACCCTGCACTCTGTACGCAGCGTGCCCCTAAACCCTGCACTCTGTACGCAGCGTGCCCCTAAACCCTGCACTCTGTACGCAGCGTGCCCCTAAACCCTGCACTCTGTACGCAGCGTGCCCCTAAACCCTGCACTCTGTACGCAGCGTGCCCCTAAACCCTGCACTCTGTACGCAGCGTGCCCCTAAACCCTGCACTCTGTACGCAGCGTGCCCCTAAACCCTGCACTCTGTAGGCAGCGTGCCCCTAAACCCTGCACTCTGTACGCAGCGTGCCCCTAAACCCTGCACTCTGTACGCAGCGTGCCCCTAAACCCTGCACTCTGTACGCAGCGTGCCCCTAAACCCTGCACTCTGTAGGCAGCGTGCCCCTAAACCCTGCACTCTGTAGCAGCGTGCCCTTAAACCCTGCACTCTGTACGCAGCGTGCCCCTAAACCCTGCACTCTGTACGCAGCGTGCCCCTAAACCCTGCACTCTGTACGCAGCGTGCCCCTAAACCCTGCACTCTGTACGCAGCGTGCCCCTAAACCCTGCACTCTGTACGCAGCGTGCCCCTAAACCCTGCACTCTGTACGCAGCGTGCCCCTAAACCCTGCACTCTGTACGCAGCGTGCCCCTAAACCCTGCACTCTGTACGCAGCGTGCCCCTAAACCCTGCACTCTGTACGCACGTGCCCCTAAACCCTGCATTCTGTACTCAGCGTGCCCCTAAACCCTGCACTCTGTACGCAGCGTGCCCCTAAACCCTGCATTCTGTACGCAGCGTGCCCCTAAACCCTGCATTCTGTACGCAGCGTGCCCCTAAACCCTGCATTCTGTACGCAGCGTGCCCCTAAACCCTGCACTCTGTACGCAGCACGCCCGCAAACCCTGCACTCTGTACGCATCGTGCCCCTAAACCCTGCACTCTGTACGCAGCGTGCCCCTAAACCCTGCATTCTGTACGCAGCGTGCCCCTAAACCCTGCACTCTGTACGCAGCGTGCCCCTAAACCCTGCATTCTGTACGCAGCGTGCCCCTAAACCCTGCATTCTGTACGCAGCGTGCCCCTAAACCCTGCACTCTGTACGCAGCGTGCCCCTAAACCCTGCACTCTGTACGCAGCGTGCCCCTAAACCCTGCACTCTGTACGCAGCGTGCCCCTAAACCCTGCACTCTGTACGCAGCGTGCCCCTAAACCCTGCATTCTGTACGCAGCGTGCCCCTAAACCCTGCATTCTGTACGCAGCGTGCCCCTAAACCCTGCACTCTGTAGCAGCGTGCCCCTAAACCCTGCACTCTGTACGCAGCGTGCCCCTAAACCCTGCACTCTGTACGCAGCGTGCCCCTAAACCCTGCATTCTGTACGCAGCGTGCCCCTAAACCCTGCATTCTGTACGCAGCGTGCCCCTAAACCCTGCATTCTGTACGCAGCGTGCCCCTAAACCCTGCACTCTGTACGCAGCGTGCCCCTAAACCCTGCATTCTGTACTCAGCGTGCCCCTAAACCCTGCACTCTGTACTCAGCGTGCCCCTAAACCCTGCATTCTGTACGCAGCGTGCCCCTAAACCCTGCACTCTGTACGCAGCGTGCCCCTAAAACCCTGCACTCTGTACGCGCATGTGCCCCTAAACCCTGCACTCTGTACGCAGCGTGCCCCTAAACCCTGCACTCTGTACATAGCGTGCCCCTAAACCCTGCACTCTGTACGCAGCGTGCCCCTAAACCCTGCACTCTGTACATAGCAGCGTGCCCCTAAACCCTGCACTCTGTACGCAGCGTGCCCCTAAACCCTGCATTCTGTACTCAGCGTGCCCCTAAACCCTGCACTCTGTGCGCAGCGTGCCCCTAAACCCTGCACTCTGTACATAGCGTGCCCCTAAACCCTGCAGTACGCAGCGTGCCCCTAAACCCTGCATTCTGTACGCAGCGTGCCCCTAAACCCTGCACTCTGTACGCAGCGTGCCCCTAAACCCTGCACTCTGTACGCAGCGTGCCCCTAAACCCTGCACTCTGTACGCAGCGTGCCCCTAAACCCTGCACTCTGTACGCAGCGTGCCCCTAAACCCTGCACTCTGTACGCAGCGTGCCCCTAAACCCTGCACTCTGTACTCAGCGTGCCCCTAAACCCTGCACTCTGTACGCAGCGTGCCCTAAACCCTGCACTCTGTACGCAGCGTGCCCCTAAACGCACTCTGTACGCAGCGTGCCCCCTAAACCCTGCATTCTGTACGCAGCGTGCCCCTAAACCCTGCACTCTGTACGCAGCGTGCCCCTAAACCCTGCACTCTGTACGCAGCGTGCCCCTAAACCCTGCACTTCTGTACATAGTGTGCCCCTAAACCCTGCACTCTGTACGCAGTGTGCCCCTAAACCCTGCATTCTGTACTCAGCGTGCCCCTAAACCCTGCATTCTGTACGCAGCGTGCCCCTAAACCCTGCACTCTGTACGCAGCGTACCCCTAAACCCTGCACTTCTGTACGCAGCGTGCCCCTAAACCCTGCACTCTGTACGCAGCGTGCCCCTAAACCCTGCATTCTGTACGCAGCGTGCCCCTAAGCCCTGCATTCTGTACATAGCGTAACTGTGATCTCTGTACCCAACGCCCTCCTGAACCCTACACTCTATATGTAACGCATCCCAGATACAACCAGCGCTTTGAGGGCAACCTGATTGCTGATGCGGTACGTGATGACATCGAAAGCGGCAATGTGTATTTCTCAAGGCTTGTTATACAGCTGCAGGTTTTAGGTCTGAGCTATAAATGTCACTTCTGATTCATATGCTGTAGTATTCAGTGTGTAATAATAAGTGCGACCGATCTCCAGTGCTGAGCCTTCAGCCTCTCATCTGGTGTATTTCTGGTAAACCCTAAATTAGTCCGGCTTACTTTGATGTAACATTCACCATCATTCTGGTCTGCAGGGAAGTTGTCTTCCCTGCGTAATGCACCCACATCAGGTTCAGGTTGGTAAGGATATAGTGCAGTAACTGATATGATGTCACAACTTCTAGGTTTCCTTTATCAGTTGAAGCTGATGCTTGTGAACTGCCTAGTTGGGCAAATAAATCAGAGGTAAAAGTTTTACTTTAGACAGACTTTGACTTGGCAGTAGGTGTGTCATTTACACCTCTTTAAAGCAGAAGCTCAGGTAATTTAAATAATTCTCCACCCATGTTTACAATGACAAGAACTCTTACATGTCACCACAAAGGAATGTGATCTTCAGGGCAAAACACATCTGAAGAAAAATCTGTATGTGAGGAAGAACCTTCATTTAGTCCCGTCCAGCCAAGTGTTTTCGCTGCTTTACCTCAGCTGCACTGTCAGTACTGCCATTGTTTTAAAAGAAAAAAAAAAGATTACATCCTTTGAATTGAAAGCCGAGTGTGATTTTATGTATTTATTTTTGATACATGTCATTGCAAAGCTATTAATAGTGTTAACCAATTCAATACCGGGCAATTTTACACCTTCCTGCCCCGGCCATTTTTCACTTTTCAGCGCTCTCACACTTTGTATGACAATTGCGCGGTCATACAACATTGTACCCAAACTAAAATTTTATCATTTTCTTCACACAACTAGAGCTTTCTTTTGGTGGTATTTAATCACCGCTGGGGTCTTTATGTTTTGCTAAATTAACAAAAAAAGACCACAAATTTTGAAAAAAAAAACAAAACACGTTTTTCTTTGTTTCTGTTATAAAAGTTTACAAATAAATAATTGTTCTTCATAAATTTAGGCCGAGATGTATTCTGCTACATGTCTTTGGTGAAAATAACCCAAATTAGGATGTATTATTTAGTTTGTAGGAAAGTTATAGAGTTCACAAACTATGGGATAGATCTGAATATTGATCAATCCTGAAGTACTGACAGCCAATCTAATTTCTTGAGGTCCAAGAATGTCAGAACAGTACAGATATCCCCCAAATGACCCCCCCAAATGACCCCTTTGCAGAGTAAACAGTCCAACGTACTTCATAAGAGGCATGGCGAGTTTTTTTAAGTTGTATTTTTTTTGTCATTTTTCGGAAAATGAAAAAAATTATTTTCACTATTTTGTTTTTTACATAATGTCACCAGTACAGTACAGCGTCATCATATAACTGGCATGGCGGTGATCAGGGACACTGACTGGTGACAGTATGAAAAAAAAAAAAAAAATATATATATATATATATAATATATATTTTTTTTTTATTATTATTTTTAATTTTTTATTACTATTTTTTTTAAGATTTTTTTTTTCATATTTTACTATGACCAAAGTAGTACAATGTTACCATAGTAACATTGTACTACTTTGGGGAAGTGATCAGTATTTTTTTTATTTTTTTTTTTTTACACTTATAGCAAAGAATTACTTTGCTATAAGCAAGCATTTACCTGAATGACATCAATTCATTCAGGGTTTTGTTTTTTTTTTTGGTGCTTAGCTGTGATTTGGCCACAGCTAATCACATGACATGTGCATGTGACCTGCTGTGACCATTCACAGCTAGGCACTAGTATACAATGGATGGCATGAATGAAGCCATCCATTGTATACAACTGTCATGTGACCTGCTGTGATTGGTCACAGCAGGTCACATGGTACCGACAACGGGGGCCGGTACTCAGATCTGTCATCGGCCGTGTCCGAGGTACACGGCCAGTGACAGATCGCGCCGCTGCGCGGCTCTGCAGGAGCGCAATCTGCGCATGTGCGGGAGGATGCCAAATGGCGTGCACCCGGAAAGCTGATGCATTTTTGCAGCTGCCAAACGGCTATAGGCCAGGCAGCTAATGGTTAAATGGTTAAATCCCCAGAGTGCTGGACTGGCTGCAGTGGCTCGGATAGCTCAGCAGCCTGTAGGTAAGTACAGCTGGGACTAGGAGGGTGGGAATAGTGTCCAGTGTTGGTTCACCTTTACATTTTTTCTGCAACAGTGAATGAAGACTTAATGAGGGCAATATAATAGCATAATAAAAGCAATAACTTCTGCTCTGAATCCTAAAAACAGTTTTTAGTAAGTAGTCAGTTTCCATGTTTCATAATTGTGTGAGCAACATCAATATTGTAAGATGCTGATTTTTGTGGCATTGTCACTCTTGAATGAATGTTTGCCTTTCACTCATACACTTGTCTAAATGGGTCATTCACATAGATTTTGTGTCTTTTTATCCTGCCTGACCTGTAAGTCTTGCCTGTTTCTAGCTCACTCATCGCTATCATGATAGAAAATGGGGACAGATCCAAAAGTGGATGGTAGGCACAAGCGTGTCAGTTTTATGTGTGTTGCATTTAAAACCTAACAGGGTGGATTGGTGTGAACCACTAACAAACCGTAAAATACTTAGCAGTGTTTGGCTCTGATTCAAAATAAATTTTTTTATTATTTTCAGTGTGTATTTACATTAATGTTTTGTTTGATTTAAGTAACACAGTTCAACTTTGTGAGCCAATTTCACATCCCTTGAATACTTTCTCATTGGGAGGCTGCATCAGTAGTTTCCAGCATTGGAGAAGGATCGGTTCCTTTTTGTGCCAGAGGATTGCCTTTGTTAGTGTGAGACTGTCTACTTTTATTTTTCTGCACCATTGCTTTAGGCAAGTATATTGCAGCAGGAGTTACTTTAGTTCTGGAATCCGTTTAGAACACATGAAGGTAACAAACCTGCATAGAACACATGAAGGTAACAAACCTGTGCATAGAACACATGAAGGTAACAAACCTGCATAGAACACATGAAGGTAACAAACCTGCATAGAACACATGAAGGTAACAAACCTGCATAGAACACATGAAGGTAACAGACCTGCATAGAACACAAGGTAACAAACCTGCATAGAACACGAAGGTAACAAACCTGCATAGAACACGAAGGTAACAAACCTGCATAGAACACATGAAGGTAACAAACCTGCATAGAACACATGAAGGTAACAAACCTGCATAGAACACATGAAGGTAACAAACCTGCATAGAACACATGAAGGTAACAAACCTGCATAGAACACGAAGGTAACAAACCTGCATAGAACACATGAAGGTAACAAACCTGCATAGAACGCATGAAGGTAACAAACCTGCATAGAACGCATGAAGGTAACAAACCTGCATAGAACACATGAAGGTATCAAACCTGCATAGAACACAAGGTAACAAACCTGCATAGAACACGAAGGTAACAAACCTGCATAGAACACGAAGGTAACAAACCTGCATAGAACACATGAAGGTAACAAACCTGCATAGAACACGAAGGTAACAAACCTGCATAGAACGCATGAAGGTAACAAACCTGCATAGAACGCATGAAGGTAACAAACCTGCATAGAACACGAAGGTAACAAACCTGCATAGAACGCATGAAGGTAACAAACCTGCATAGAACGCATGAAGGTAACAAACCTGCATAGAACGCATGAAGGTAACAAACCTGCATAGATCACATGAAGGTAACAAACCTGCATAGAACACATGAAGGTAACAAACCTGCATAGAACACATGAAGGTAACAAACCTGCATAGAACGCATGAAGGTAACAAACCTGCATAGAACGCATGAAGGTACAAACCTGCATAGAACACATGAAGGTATCAAACCTGCATAGAACACATGAAGGTAACAAACCTGCATAGAACACATGAAGGTAACAAACCTGCATAGAACGCATGAAGGTAACAAACCTGCATAGAACGCATGAAGGTAACAAACCTGCATAGAACGCATGAAGGTAACAAACCTGCATAGAACGCATGAAGGTAACAAACCTGCATAGAACACATGAAGGTAACAAACCTGCATAGAACGCATGAAGGTACAAAACCTGCATAGAACACATGAAGGTAACAAACCTGCATAGAACACATGAAGGTAACAAACCTGCATAGAACACATGAAGGTAACAAACCTGCATAGAACACATGAAGGTAACAAACCTGCATAGAACGCATGAAGGTAACAAACCTGCATAGAACGCATGAAGGTACAAACCTGCATAGAACACATGAAGGTATCAAACCTGCATAGAACACATGAAGGTAACAAACCTGCATAGAACACATGAAGGTAACAAACCTGCATAGAACACATGAAGGTAACAAACCTGCATAGAACACGAAGGTAACAAACCTGCATAGAACACATGAAGGTAACAAACCTGCATAGAACGCATGAAGGTAACAAACCTGCATAGAACGCATGAAGGTAACAAACCTGCATAGAACACATGAAGGTATCAAACCTGCATAGAACACATGAAGGTAACAAACCTGCATAGAACGCATGAAGGTAACAAACCTGCATAGAACGCATGAAGGTAACAAACCTGCATAGAACACATGAAGGTATCAAACCTGCATAGAACACATGAAGGTAACAAACCTGCATAGAATGCATGAATGTAACAAACCTGCATAGAACACATGAAGATAACAAACCTGCATAGAACACATGAAGGTAACAAACCTGCATAGAACACATGAAGGTAACAAACCTGCATAGAATGCATGAATGTAAAAAGCCTTCAGTCTTTACAACCACTTTAAAGTGAAACGTCACTCTCGCAATCAACATTAATTATTTTAAATCCTCATCCTAGCATTTATAAATAGATAGGAAAGTATATCATATTTACTAGTTTTTACACTTTTTTTTTTTTGCATTTCTTCAGTTCCTTCTTGACTTCTATGCCTAGGTATTAATGTAATATCTCTCAGGAGTCTTCAGGAGCGGAGTAGGGGTAGGGGCTTTTCCAGCTAAGCACACCCTCCTGCCTGCATGCCTTAGCTAAGGGCATGTGGATTCCAGAAAGTAAATCTGCCATTACTAAAGATGGCCACAGCCAGAAATGCTAGGGGGTGTTTTTCAAGGAAGTTTCTCTGCAAATTAAAGCATGGAGACATGGATGGATGGGTGAGTTTGCTTTAAATAGTAAAAATGAATTCAATTGCATTTTTGGTTTTTGGTACTCGGATGCAGTGTAGTTCCGCTTTAAGCAGTATGTCAATGGTGGGGGTGGAGGGGGTCTTATACTAACCAAACACACTTTCTCTCATTCAGCCTCCCTGAATGAGAGAAATCAATAAATTTCATCATCCATGCAAAACAGCATAGATGGAGAAATCTACCCTGCTGACTATTGTATTCTGACAGTCGCTGCTCCTGTGACTATCCGAATACCAAAACAATCACTGCATCCGATTGTATGCAGCCACTGTTTGAATTGGCAAATTTCTATTCATCTCCTTATGTTTTATCCATCTACATTTGTGGAGCAAGGCAGTGTTGACGGGGCTGACACAGCATGAATTTCAAATTCAGCTAGCATAAGGGTTATGGGGATTCAACTGCAACATTCAGCTATAATTAGAGTTGTTTCCAGACGTTTTGGTTTAGCATCCTTTTTTAGACTAAAATCCTTTGGGTAATATTCAGAAATCCGGGAACCCTGTGCTTGCATCGATAAGAATGGCTTTATAAACGAATTTCTGTGCTGTAAACGTTTTTAGCAGTGTTGATTGCATGGCTTCCTTGATGTGTAAATAAATAGCACATTTACATTTTTTGGTTATTGGTGTTATTTTGTCTGTTATTGTTTTGTATAATGTGAGATGTCAGAATTTATTGTACGGCGCTGTAATGCTGTCATTGTTTATGCTGGAACACACTGTGAACTTTTGTAATGTTCTTATTATAAGTTCTTGGCTACAAACGAATATGAAAATGAGCATCATAGAATCCCATTGCTGAGAGGCAGCCAAGAGGCCTGTTCTTGCTGGCCTGGAAGATGTAGAAGAGAGAACATGATTATTACAGCGTATTCAGCGATTTGAAATGCTTCCAATGTCTGTTTAGCGCAGTTACCCCATTATGTCTTTATAGCTTTAATGATTCTCCTCTTCTCTAATAAGTTCTTTGTTATTATCATGAAGTCGTTCTTCACTTTTTCACTAAATCCTTGTTTTGCAGGAATGTTCTTTTCTATAAAAAACAAAACAAAAAAACTTTTAAAGCCAAATTCCAGGCAGGATCCAAATATGAATATTGTAATGAATATGTCAGGGCTCCGGGTATGACCAGAGGTGTGTGGACTGACACAGGGAAACGCAGGTTTCAGATATGGTATAAATAAAGACAATTTATTAAGACTAACAATACAAATATAAACGCAGTGCACCAAACCCCAAGCTAACACAAATACATACAACAAGGTGAAACAAACCCAAACCTAAACTGATATAGATACACAGGTACATACACATATAGAGCACAACGTAGTCAGGCAGGCCGGGTCAATAACTATCGGGCAGGTAGGTACAGGAGGAGCAGGCGGAGAGTAGTCAGGGTCACAAGCCAGGGATCAAACAGGAGAAGTCAGCAGAGGTCAGGATCAGGCAGGGTCGGCAACAAGTCAGGCAGGAACAGGAATGCAGGTTACAAGATACAGGGGCCCATGGAAAAACACACACCAAGCCACAGACTGCAGGTCTAGCCATTCCTTAAATACAACCCCTGTAATCAGCTTCAGGTGTTTGGCTGATTGCAGGGTTGAGTCTCTGATTGCTGAGAGCACCCGCTGGCCAGCCCTGGTACTGCAGCCCACAAGGCAGGTGAGTCCCACCATTATTGGCAAGTCCATTCCTGACAGAATATCTAATGGTTTTCATAGCTCCCACCCCCCCCCCCCCCAAAAAAAAAATAGTTTCAGATACCTATATACAGGCTAAGGAAAGGAGAAACATGACATGATGTCAGCATCACTCCAGGACTACAGTTTCCTGTGCTCCTTGAGGCAGTGCCCTATTTGGAAGAGTAAATCTATGGAGTTGTTGCTAGATGAGTAAGGCTCCATTCACACTAGTGTGGCTTGCCATGCAACTTTGGACACAAAGTTGCAGACCATTTATTTCAGTGGCACCCGTTCCAATTTATGCAACTAAATTTGTAGCGACTTTAAAAAAGGTTCCTGCACTACTTTGACGTGGCTTTCTTGGAACTTGAGTGCCATAGAGTGTAAAGTTGCATGAAAGTCATATCAAAGTCGCACTGGAAATTGCACGAATTTTGAGTTGCACTAGTGTGAACTGACCCTAAAGAGGGTAATGTACAAACACCCATAGCCAAATCTAATATGCATTGTTATGTCATCCTTTGTACCCCGAGAAAACCAGGGGCTATTGTTTGTCCACAAGGCTGCTGAGTAACTGCCTCAGTGGTACTGGCTTCTAAAGCAATTCGACGAACTGTGGTGGGCATCAG